TTCTGTCGGAGCTGCCTGCGACGCGCTGATGAGATCCAAAAAGATCGAAATCGCGATCCGCGTCTGGCAGTTTCGACAGAATACAGACCACTTCGAATTATTTTATTCGATTATGGTAACGTACCTATCACGTTGGGGTTAGCTACGCCGGGATTCGTTTCAGCAAGTTGATATCCATATATTTAAATGGACCTTGTTGGAGCATACGGAATCCTAAAACGTAGCATCGTACTACAGATGGCGTTTACCGCGCCATTTGTAGTATTTTCTTCAGTTAATGTTATCAGTTATTAAAATTCTTGAGCCTGCCAATTGAAATGTGATAAGTAAATTTTCTGTTATTATCTTCCCTTAATTTGGAATGTAGATATAGAATGAGAATCTAATAAGGGTTGTATTGAATTACAAAACTAACACCAACGTTTCGCCTCTAATTGTATCACGTTGTCAAATACTACAAACGATTTTACTCGGGGGTAAACATGTAGTAGGAGTAGCAGCGAGTAAACCATAATCGAATGCTTTTTACTCAGGCCGTGTACATAGGGGAGATTTTGGGGGTTTAAACACCCTGCCCCGCTTTGTAAATATCCTCAGCACGGTAGGTATTCTGTTTATATTTCTTTATAATTATAAACAGTTGAAATCTCTTTCTATATTTAACTTAGATTTTACCAGCGGCTTTGGTCGCGTTGATGTCCTAAGTACGTGTCAAAGGTCATCGACAACAACATAAAAATAATTTTTCCGTCCCTTAGAGACAGTATTTTTTCCTGTACCCCTGACAAGTGCGTGCGAAATTTCATGATAGGTCTTATCCGCGGTTTCGCTTACGTTGATGGTCAAAAATTGTTGACGACCTCATAAAACTTATTTTTTTATCCTTCGGGAACAGTATTTTTTTTTTGGGATAAGTGGTACCCTCTATCCTTTTCTGTATCCTTCAATGCGTGTACGAAATTTTATGATAGGTTTTATATTAGGATTACACCCAAGTACGCTTTAATGACCACATAAAACTACATTTGCTATCCCTTGAGAGCAGTATTATTTTTCTGGGTAAAAGGTGCCCTTTGTCCTTTTCTGTACCCCTGGCAATCATTATCATGTCGTCAGTCCTAAGACTGGTTGGACACGCACCTCCACTCTTTCCTATCCTGAGCTAATCTTCGCATTTAACTATTTGCGAACAGTAATCTAATCTAGGTCTACCTCTACCCCTCCTAACTTCTGTTTCTGCCTCTAATATGTCTGTAAGTAGACCTTTATGCCTGAGAAGTCCTACTAACCTATCTCGCCTATTTCTTATTAAAGTCCTCTGTTCTCTTACTCTTTCTAATACCTCTTCATTTCTAACTTTCTTTATCCACGGTATTCTCATCATTCGCCTGTAACACCACATTTCGAACGCTTCTAACCTTTTCCGCGCCCACTGTCCATGTTTCGCACCCGTACAGGTTTTACCCGCGGTTGCACTCGCCTTGATGATTTACGTGGACACCACCACACTAACGATTATAAATGTATGTTAATGTTAATAGTTCAACTAATTGTTAAGTTTGATTTTTATGTCATTAAATAAAAAATTTACCAAAACCTCTTCCAAGAATAAATCCTGTGCACTACCCTGCTGCGACTGCAGTTATTATTTATCATATTATGATTAGAGGTAATGACCGTCAAATGTGCTATAACCATGTAAATCAACCCGGCTGTGAAATATTATGACAAATCAATTTGTCATTTAGATTCAAAATTTCTCAACAAGCATTCTGTGTTCGTGTTATATTTTTTATTTCAAACCCCTTCCTACAGCCGTTGTATTCTAAATAAGTAAAAATGCAGAACATGCACTCGCGTGTAATCGGGAACAATTTAGTGAACCATCTGGTCGAACCGACCAGGAAATTGGCTCCTTCAGTTGGGAAATCCGAACCCGCGATAGCCAGAAAAATGCACACCCCCGAACACGAAGGGAGCAGGGGCGACGAAGACGGCGACGAAAGAATCAGGACTGGCGGAGAAGTCGATTATAATACGGGCAATAGTAAATTGTGCAAAAGTATGTCGAAGAAGTCGAAATTGGGTATGCCAAGGCAATGTCGATCTATCGCCACCGAGGGCTTCAAAAGTATCCTCGAAGATGCCGCCGTCAACGACGACGATTCGATGATGAAACATCAAAATTAATTGTTATTTTTAACTGGATTTCTTGTCATTATAATGACAACAAGTTACCAGTAGATTTTTCCTCTAACATAAAAAAGGTAATATCAAAAAGAAGTCTACACTTTTATACACATTAAAGAATGTAGGACTACTTTAGGTTGACAAAACAGTGTGGCATGAATAAAAGCAAAAGTAAAACACAAATATTGGAATGAAAAAGTAGTGAATATAAAGATAGGAGATGAAAAAATAAAAGAAGTGACTGATTATCGGTATCTATCGAATGATGAGAGGATACTGTCAAACTTGTAAATGGTTTCGTCCTACAAAATTTTGACAAAGTAGCCAAAAAAGAACTATAAAGCTAATGCTAAACATACGTAAATAAAAATTGCGAGAGACATCAGTCATTTCTAATTTAAATGAACAATAAGGAATTGTTTGCAGTTTATTTCAGTTTTCTAGAAATCTCTCNGGTTTCGTCCTACAAAATTTTGACAAAGTAGCCAAAAAAGAACTATAAAGCTAATGCTAAACATACGTAAATAAAAATTGCGAGAGACATCAGTCATTTCTAATTTAAATGAACAATAAGGAATTGTTTGCAGTTTATTTCAGTTTTCTAGAAATCTCTCGATTTTTACATATAAAAGCATACAATAAAACACGTTTTGTTAATTTTTAAAAATTCTAACCGAAAAGATACACCTATTTACCTATTTTCTAAAAGTTCGATACAATTTGCTAGAGAATCTACTCGTCACAAAACACTTTTTCTTTTTCAGAATAAAAATATTTTGTGGCTCTACTCCAACGGTAGTGATTTTATCGAAGTGTATGAAGATCACCAAAACATTTTCTCTTTTTTTCAAATTTTTGTTTTTGTTTTTTTTTTTAGTAAACGATGTCTTAAGGTAATAAATTTTTAATATGTAACTGCATATTATTTTTTAATTTCCGGACACAATTTAGGTGTGAAGTGATGCAGGAAGTAGTTGTATCGCAATAACGACGTTTCAATTTTGTGTATCTAACATATTTCCTTTCGCGACAAATGTTAGGTAAATAAAATTCCACAGATAAACTTTCCCATACTTTCTGTACCTATTGTTTCTCAAGGGTGGCTGAAGAAGACCTTTTACCCTACCCTCCGGCTTTTGCAGTAGAGCGTGCATAGTTCGGAACGAGAGTACATTCACTAGAATTACTAGCTGGTATCTAAATTTATATTTGACAATTTAAATGAATGTTTAATAGGTAACCGTTAACAAACCTGACGAAAGATTCTTAGCTCTATTTAAAAATACAGATTTTTCAGATTTATACAGGACACACAAAAAAAGAAAGACGGAGTAATATTCCGATATTAAACCGCTTCGTGCGACGAAATTTTTCAGCTTGTTCTTTAATTTTCCTTTTTACTCCTCAAATCCTTATAATGTCCTGATTCGCAGTGAATGAGCATTACGGATTGAATGGAAATGAGAAGGTGCCGGAAATGAACTTTATCCTTTGACGTAAAAATTTGTAATCTGAACGGGAATAGAATAGAAATAAACCAAAAAAAAAATAACGACGTCGTCCTTTAATGAAATAACATTGTTAAATTCGACATTAATTATGCAAGGTGCTACCGGAAAGTAAGTGATAAGTAAAATCGATTACTCAATTATTACTGAAGAAAGATTTAGGCGTTAATAATTTGTTATAAACGTGTTCCTGCGGTGGCGGATCGATAGTACGTCACATTCTTATACTTGCTGACAGCACCGTACACAGTCACACCTGTATCAGGTTATGACAAAAGAAAAATACGGGAAGGTTCCGGAAAAGATCAAGAACATTCTATGACTACAATAAAAAAAAAATCTGAAGGTCGTTTATATGTTAATAGGTGACAAACAAATAACTAAATGAACTTAAAAGTTATTCCAATATTACGAACAGACGAGACAGTTCAATTTTATTAATACGTGTAGATATATAGACGATCTTTTGGAAGAAAGTCGAGAAGTTGGCGTCGAAGCACTTGTTTTGACAGCTTGTTACACAGGCAACCTTGATAAATGAGAAACTCCTGGAACACAGCGTTCACGTGATTGATCGCGCCTTGTTTGCATCCCTTAAAGCGCAAACAACATTCTCTAGATCTACCTTCCAGCTGAATGTTGGCGATTTGTCTTAATTATTCTTACGTTTTGCCAAATAAGTAGGTATCAACCAAAATCATTTTCAATTTTTCTATTAAAAAGAAAACGAGGATAAGAAAGCTAAGAAATATATGCGCGAATTTCTGGACCACAACATAAATTTTAAATAAAACAAATTGAGTGATTATTAGGAGAAATAATACATATTGAGGTGAATCGACGGTAAAATAATATGACAAAAAAGAACACTTACTAACTTTTTATAGATTAATATATGTAACTAAACTAAGCTGCATTAGAATTCGTCGTAACTAAGCAACTTTAGGTAGTTCGAGCCTCTAACCTAATCTAGTCCAGGTGAAAACTAATTGACATTGACATTGTACTAGTCATTTAGAATGTCCAACATCAATTGTATATCATTTGGAATTAAACACCATACTCTTTTAACAGACGTCGAATATAATCGTACATTAATGTCACGAAGACCGAGTCATTATTTAGTAATATCCATATTATATCGAGTATGTTCCGAAATATAACCCATCATATTGGCCAGTGCTGATGACGTCATTAATCGACGCCATATTGTACTGGTGTGCCACCATATTTGCTGGTGAGACAAGTGTGACGTAGCAGTATATAAAACGGGCGTGTGTGCATCAGACTTTGAGGAATCATTTATTGTAAGACACTTTAATAAATTTTGTAAGCACAGACACTATTCTCAATGTGTCGATATTTGACGTCAACGCACTGCCCAGTATATTTCGGAACGAACAACAGTATGGCGTCGATTTATGACGTCATCAGCACTGACCAGTATGATGGGTTCTAATAAATTCGAAAATGGTGTAGGAACTCTACGTTTGCAGCTAAATAAATTGGGTTTTTATGTGAATTAACTGCCACTGGTAATGCTTTTAATGTGCGTTATTTATCGACATGAACACTGCATCCAAAAATTTAGATCTTTACATTTGCAAATATTATATAAAATGGGTTGTATTATATCATTTAGCCACTATGAGCATTTAAAAATGTTTCCTAATTTCGTCAACGAAGGGTCTTTTCCTTGCACCTATCAAAAATATTTAACTCATATGATTTATTTATTTAATGTGGTGTTATAGCGAATGATGAGGATAACGTGGGTAGAAAAGTTTAATAATGAAGAGGTATTATAAAGAATAAGGGAACAGAGGACTCTATGGAAGTCAATAAGAAATGGGCGAGATAGGTTGGTAGGACACCTTCTCAGTCATGAAGGTCTAGTCAGAAACATATTAGAGGCAGAAGCAGGAGTTAGGAGGGGTAGAGGTAGACCTAGATTAGATTACTGTTCGCAAATAAAGGATGTGGGTTGTTCTAGTTTTAGGGAAATG